CATAGACCTAACGCAAGGTAGAACCCTTTTTTTTCCGTTTTCTAGACTGCTAAAATCGTCCCTTAGCCACTCTGTATTATGCAAAACTAAATTCAACCTTAAAATTGTGTCAAACCAGTTTTTTTTTGCTTACCACTACTCGAATTTATACAAAGACTTCCTTCTTGAATAGTTAACCAGAGAAGGCGTGTTCAATTGACCAGAGAATTGACCGAAATAAGTATCGTATTCGGATATTCCTTGAAGAGGGTTATCGTTATAGGATAAAATAATTATAAAATATATATTATTATTAAATAATGATTGATAACACTCTACAATTGCAAGATGTTATTTAAAACAACAAGAATTTCCGTTTAATAAACGAGTCCCACCAATCTGTGCGACACACATAATTATGTGAATCTGTTTCTTTTAATGTCTTACCTTGGTAATAACATGATTGAAAATGTTTTCTGTATGTTTCCTATGGAGTTTTCCTAGCTTGTGATTTTCCGGGTGATTTTCATTATTCTGGAATTGTACTTTTAACAGGCTATTTACGTTGAGGGATGTCCAAATCTATACAAATCTGACTTAAAAACATTACTAAAGGTAACGTTTTGCCAAAATTCCCTGGATTTGTTAATGTGTTCTCGGGCAAATTGCAAACGTTTTTTTTTTTTTTTCGATGTTTTTCTGAAATTAATGGTTTCCTCCAGCATGCAGCAGTTTCTTATCGTTTGAGGGCTAACATTTTTTGAGAAAGAATTTTACCAATATTTTTTCTCTTTCCATAAATCTACTATGATTTTCCCTTTACTTTAAAACCACTGACTTAAAAGTGGCGTCAAAAATAAACAAGTATAACTCATTTGTTTAAGCGAAATTTGATACAAGCTGAATTGATAAAATATTGATAATTGACGGTTCTACCTGCAGTTCTGAATACAGAAACTAAAAGAAAACTGAAAAAATACTATGTGTACTATACTGTGTATACTATGGGGATCTTTTTCACCGACTATATATAGCTGTCTAAGATTGACACGATAAATGAGAATTTATTTGCTTATAAAGAATATCTTACGCTCGCCTTGAGAAATTGCTTTTCTGAGTCGTGGTTCTTATTTTCTTATAATAAATAATAAAATTCAGCTATGCCATACGTAAACAATTCTTATAAAAATCTGGACCACGTCATTTATTGATTAAAACATACGATTCAGTTCTCCTTAGTTACTATAATAGAATAGTTTTTTTTTCAAATTCGTTGTCAATTATCAACTATAAAACTGTTCTGGAGCTAGCCAATCGAAATCGGCAAACCAGCTGGGCCGCGGTGACGTCAGATCGACGGCATATACTCGAGCGCTTTTATAGTTGGAACGACTTCGACGCGATCTAAAAAATTCAAGTCGAAGTCGAACTTAAAAAAGCGCCGCGATTAAGATGGAATCTGGTCGAGTGAGGTCGAGGGGGAGCTGCCGACAACCGCATATATTAAAACCTAAACTCATCTCCGATGCCCGGTTTGATAGTTGGCACTTTGGCTTCGCGTCTTTACGTTGAGCCACGCCACGCCACCACGTCCGTCCGGAATAATTGAGGCTAATTATCCTCCGGAGCACCCGAAGAAATTTTTGACGGCAGAAACGGTAATTATGCGCATCGAGTTGCGTGTAATTTTCGAGCGTTTAACTTAAAAAGGCAATTAACGCCGCGGAGAAGAACGTCACCGGCAAGGTCGGCAAAGTGACGACGAAAAAAATAACCCTGCACGCAGGCTGGCATAAGCGGGACGTAAAGAAGTTTCCTCGACTACGCACTACAATCCATAGGATAAAGCGTAAATTTATAGTACGTTTGCCTGACTGGTGAAAATTATTTCTTATTACAAGATCTTATTTCTTTCTACATTGTTATGACCGATGTTTAATAGCAATATTGTTTATATCTAAATTCCGTGGAGGTGCGGTCTACTTTGATGTTAACCTCCTTCAACTGGAACAACAGTAAGAATTATTCCCGTTTATATTCCTAACCTTAGAATTGCTTACTTCTTAAAATTGTGTGCAAAATATCGACTTTTGTCTTGACTAACCAGAAAATGAAGAGGAAATTTGTCGCGGAGCTTGTATTTCACCAATAAAATATCTCCTGGCCTCTTTGTTATTCGAAATAAGTGAGCAAACTTTTCATTCCGTACATATTAACCATTATCGTTGTGAGGCAGCCGTTTTTGAGAATTAAACTTTCTGTATATCAGTCTTTGTCTTAGTCTTTCCTTCCCAAGTGATTACATGCGCTACACGATCAGGTCATTCATGTACAAGTCGCGGTCTAGCTAGACTAGTCGGGAATTATCTACTCTGCAGTGATTTTCACAGAATCATATAGAATACATAAAATTTTTTAATGAGTGAAATTAGCGAAGCATCTAAAGAAAGTGATCGGTTTCAATGCAGATTAGCATTTCATTTTTATTAAATTGGTCGTTTTAGATTATTACAATCTTTATCAGTTCTTTCGCTGTTTTCATGGATAGCACATTCATGTATAAGTATTACATAATATCAAAAAAACTAAAGTAGTCGTATAATACTGACTAAAAAAATTTACGCAGAAAAGGGAATTAATTTTCCGCGAATGCCCCTAAATTTCATCCACTAATACCTAAGCCCGAAAATATTTGAGAAATTATTGATTATTTTGACCGAAATGGTGAGCGAGGTGGTAATTTCAATATCTTAAGTCAAAGTAAATCTTTCTGTATAACTAGTTTACCACAAGATTATTTATTTATCGCAAGGCCATTTATTGATTTATATCAAGATTACGTCCTTGAGGTAAGTACTTTTAGAAAGATCATGCTCCTTCGATTCAAGATTGCGATTATTGGACAGAAGGAATAATAATTAATAATAAAGGACGCGCTTTTGTAAAATGTGAATAGCCAAAAAGTTGGTTGGACATTCAAAGACAGCCTTGATTTAGGTCCAACTTCCAATTTCTGAACAGCAAAAATGTATTTTTTATGTTGTGTTTAATATCCCTACCAAATTATACTTCATCTTGCCTCCTCCGAATTCACAATTCACAATAAAAATAAGCGGCGATTTTAAAGTCAATCTTTGTTTCAAGAAAAAGCATATTTATAAAAATAACAATTTTATTTTTTTTTTAATACGAAGAAAAGTGCACCGGTAAAGACATAGTGGGGCGCCCCCCGCGGCCGTCTAAGGCACTTAGGCCACCAGATGGACCCGTTGTGCCCCAACATAGTGGTGTAAAAAAATATAATATGTAACCAAACAACCAGTCAAAAAATATGCATGTAATAATAATGAAAATTATTTGAACCTCTCCAACCAGGTATTATAATTAAACGCGCAACGAAAGAACTGGTCTATAAAGAGCTGGGCGAGTAAATATTCAAGTTCATTGGCAAATTGTGCGATGGTGTTGGCTAATCTTGGTCTGGTCGACAGTTAACCTTCCCAGAGGTTGATGATCTGTTGACTATTTTATCCGAACACGCTGCATATTATGTAGATAGCGACCGTGTGTAAATTAGGCAAAAATAGCGACTTCTCTCTAGTCCAGCATCGCCATGCGTTGTAATTTCGTTTTTAAAACAAACGGATTTGGTATTAAGTGCTCCGACCGACTTGTTAAATTTTAAACGACCACAGTTAAGTGGAGAATTCGCGGAATGCGCTGTACGTAAATATATACCGAAATTGCAACGCTAATTATTTTTTACTGATGTAAACCGTTAGAGAATCGTGCGTAAATTAATAAACGCGCCTTCATTTTCGTAACTGAAAAAGTCGAACCGATTCGGAACAGTTTTGGGCTTGGTCGACAAATAAAGAGCCAGACGGTCACTTCCGTTACATGTTACGCACAAAAGCCCGTCACAAATTAAATTTACCCCACGATAAGGACCCCACCCACCCGCGGGAGCGATGACACAAGCAGGAGAAATTTCAATTCGACAAGGGTATTTTATCGAGATATAACAACCTTCATTACAGCATTTTGAAGTCGGTTGCCCATTTCTAATGAATTGGTGGAAAACCAAAATCATTTCGCGTAGGCTTAATGTATCCACGCTCTTTGTGCGCTGGCAAACCAGATATTAATTTTTTCTGCGGAATACTAAATAATTAATGAATTCATTATTTTAAAAAGTTCCTTCCAAAAATGATGTACGGGATCGGTCAAATTGGCTGTCATTTGTTAAATCCAGGTTTCCTTGTGGTTTTTCCTAACTTTACTATTTTTTATCTAAAAATGGCAAATTCCGAAACAATTAAATTAAAAGAAAATTACAAACATACAGTGTTTTTTCTAAAAATATAATGAAGCATTAAATAACGCAGTGATGTAATATGATTTATCTTGTCACCCAAAGAAACAGTTTTAATTTTCAACGCAATTATTATCAATATCGGACCGGAAATTAATTGACGTAAAAAATTCTGTGGGATTTCAATGCACCACAGCAAACCTACGACAGTTTAACATTTCAATTAAAATACTTGCATGCCCGCAGCTGTCGATTAATCTATCGAAATTTTACAGTTACACGAGAAAGACATTTATTTCAATTTAGTTCTGCGACGTAATTATCAAAGAATTATGCTGGTAGGAGGAAAATTACCCAAACTGTTTCCTTAGAAATTACTGCTCCCAGTTGGAAGGAAAGTGTGGTTTAGGGTTGCAGTTTTCAACGAGCTTTCGTTTTACGAATTTTGTTCCGCTTATGACTATGAAAAAAATTCAAAACCAAAACCGAATCGATACAAGACCGTCAACGAGCAAAATGGCTTTAGTTCCGATTGGAAATGACAGATCCCCAGATAACAAACATGGCGGACACTTGCGTCGCATCCGTCCCGATCGGCCCTACGGTTGAACGATCCCAATACATAAAAAATAACTCGGGTCCCCTCCCGCGTAGCGATTCGTATTAAAAAATCTGGCGCGAATTATACTACAACCGGCGTACTTACCTCGTATTTGACGCCAGCGAGCCTCAGCCAAGTCTCCACTTTGAGACAATAAGGCGACATCGAAGGCAGGACCGGGGTGCGCGAGAATTGGTACAGATAAACGACATCTTTCTCGTAGTTGGTCTTGTGGACGATCACCTTCGGAGGAGCCGCTTCCTTCTCTTTTTGCGCGGCGGTCGCGTCTCCGCCGGCCTCCTGTTTGGCCTCTTCGGCCTTCTCAGTGGCCGCGGGAGTTTCCTCTTTGATTTCTTTCGTTTCGGCTGCGGGCACGTTATTTTCCGCTTCCGTTGCCATCGTATTCGAGTCCTCTACTACGTCACGGGAAACGACGAAACGCGAAACAGCGAACACACAAGACAATAATGAACAAACACAACGACTTTAAATAACGCAGTACTACCGTACCCTACGACACGACAACGTCCAATGTGCCGCTCTCGAGAGAAGAATCGAGCACTGGGCCTCGACGACTTCCAAGAGAAGCGCGGCGTTGCCGAGTTGTCGCGGCGTTCTTTCCAGTCTGAATCACGATTCGAATATATGGTTCGATCAATTTAAACTTGCCACGGACGTCACAAAACGATTACTTAAATCATGATTTTAGCAAAAACACAAATTAGTTTGCCATCGAGCCATAGAGAATCTACAATTCTGTTTTTCATTAGTTATCTCTATGAGTAACCGCCTTACCCCAAGAATTAATGCAGTCAATTTCTATTATCAAGCGGAAAACGAATTGCTTTGGTAATTACGCTGCCAGGAAAAAACTTAAAATCGCAAACTAAAATTTCTCTTATAAAATTTGCTGACAATTTCTTTAGCCGTCCATCATTTGTCGACTCTGAAGAACACGAAGAGGATATTTTTATTTATTTATTGGAATTTACTGGTTTAAGCATTAAGCGACGAACGTTTTTCATTTTACATACAATCAAACGACCAGGCGTCACTTTAGCTGTATCTTAAAAATATCGACAATGACGCAGGATGTAATGTGCATACCAAGATAAATTGATCGAACAATATGTATAACCCCATGACAATGCCGGATCGATTTGAAGTCATATATTTCACAATTTAAAGAGCACCAGAGAAAATTTTGACAAGTCTATATTAACTATTTACACATTTCATATTTTATCCCTTTCCCTTTATTCCATTATTTTCGTAGTCAAAAAACACTCCACCGACATTTCGTGGGACGCGAGGTCGCAATTATTTTTCCCATCTGGAAACGGGGAAATTCGAAATCAACCGGCAATGCCGCGTATTCTTCGACGCGCGTTCCGATCCCTTCCGCCCCCACCCCCAACCCGTTACCATGCACATGCGACGAGCCCCACCCTTGCATATGCGCTGCCGAAGTGTCGCCGTCTCGTGGCCGATGACCCACACGCATACAAGCAGACGCACGGATCTCGCTGGCAACGATTTTTTTTTTTGACACCATTGTGACATTTATATACAAAAGCATGAGCGATCGCGACTTTATGTTATTAGCGAAGTAACAAAAATTACCTTTTTTAAAATAAGACAGTTTTTGGAAACCCGTTAAAAAGTCTCAGGATACGCTCTAGGAGGAGCAGTTTCGCTGTGAATGTAACAAAATATTGATAATACTCGATATTTATATTTGTCTTTTTTTTTCTGAAGAAAATTAATGGATTTGCCCAAGAGGTAGAAGAAGTAACTAACCAATACTAAGTAACCACGACGATGGGGTAGAGTAACCATTGCACGTTCAGCCCGGTTCCATAAAATGTAGAAATCGGTTGATGTAAAATAGTGTTTTGTATATTTGTTATCTGAAGTGATAAAGGCGCAAATTTGGGAAATAGTGAAATGTAAATGGATTTGTGATGTTATTCCATTATGTATATGTTAATACGGTTTCCGAATGTCTTGTATTCACGCTGGTAACCAGGCCAGATGGGATAGGATATAATTGCAGTAGCCGTTAGCAGATTCGGTCGTCATTTTATGACTATTTAGAAGCTGTTCCACTGTATGAATATGTTAAAAAACCTGGAAGATGATGCATTAGTCCAGACCCTTTCATTCGGAAGACATTCTTTAGGAATTTTTAATTATAATTACTATTTGTAAGCTGGCGAAATTGCCTGAGTTGCAGGGCCAAAAAAACCAGTAACAAAAAAAAAACTAACAAATAATTTTACTAACATTTTTCACTGTTGATTGTGTGATAATTATTTATTAATATTCTTATTTAATAAACACAATTTAAAATATATAAAATACTATTATACTGTAGGAATTTAGAGAGTAATCTAACTGATGACGATTTTTTTGATATAAATGGAGCAGAGTTAGCTAAATTTTTGCAACATCTGCGCTTTTGGATAAAAAAAAAAACGCTTAAGCTATGTACTAAAAATAATAACATTAAATTTTGCCCCAACCCTTAGTGCTCCCTTATTGTTGACTGCATCAATACACAACAGTTACTGAATGTATCAATAACTGTTGCAAGTGGGGAAAATGAGTTTCCCTAAGCTAAAACTAAAATATTTTTACGTTCTACAACCGCAAAAGATTGTCTTAACGTTTTAGCCATTTTGGCAATTGAGCGCCCAACCGCGGATCAAATAAACTCAAGAGACAGAATACAAAGTTGCAGAAATAAAAAGAAGAAGAGAAAGAAAAATATTCGTTAGTTTATTTGTTTCCGTGATCAAATACTTTTTTGAGATTAAAAGAACTAGTTTTTTTTTTGTTAACATTTAGTTACCAAGTACAGGGGCTTCTTAATTTGAAGTCTTTAGTTTTGCTGAAGTGTTTATCTTACATCTTTTAATTATATTATAACTGAATCCAATGATTTTTATTTTATTTAGTAGATAAATATATCCTTTTGGTGTGGCTGGTAAAGAAGGATGAAGTCTTTAGCGCGACATTTAGGCGATAAACAGACTATCAATGCAACAAAATTTATTTCGAACGAAAAACCAACGATAGCAACTACATTAGAACGAAGATTAGTTTATTGCACAAACAGACACATCAAACTCTTTTCCAACCGATCCTTGTTGATGACGCTACAAAAAAATATTAAAAGGGTTAATACTACGACAATCATCCCAGAAACGCTTTGGATTTACCAGGACTTGTGCACGTCGGACGTGGTCAGTATCATCAAGGCATTCAACTTGCGTAGGATCGCTTCTTTTTCGTCAATCGGCACAGAGTCCAGTAATTCCAATGGAAAAGTGTCGGTCGCGTTGGCTATGGCAACGAGTGCCCTAAAGTATATGGAGAATATTTTAAAATGTATTCTTTAAACACGAATATATATATATATATATATATATATATATATATATATATATATATATATATATATATATATATATATATATATATATATATATATATATATATATATATATATATATATATATATATATATATATATATATATATATATATATATATATATATATATATATATATATATATATATATATATATATATATATATATATATATATATATTTCATTTATTTATATTTAAATTAATATAAACGAATGATACATAGTGGTATAACATAGGATAAAAAGCAGCTCCGAAACTATAGAGAACATGTGGGCGCACTAACAGTTTATCGAACGGTACTGACCTTATGCGACAGAAGAACACCCAATCCTGCGACTTGTGTGGCGTACACTTCCAACACTGAAAAGAATCGGGGCTGAGCGATTCGGGGCGCAAGTAGCCGTGGCACACCTGATGAACCCGCCGCTGGCAAAACGGGCACTCGATGGTTTCGAAGGCGTACTTGCAGAGGTTCCACAAACAGGGACACTCTATCAGTTCCTCCGATCTTATAGAGATGATTTCGTAACTTTCTGCGATAATTAATTGTTTTAATAAAGGTCGCGCCATGTTTAGGCGCGTCTGCCATCTGTCGTTGACTACGCGAAACTATTTAGTACGATGGTTATTCGCTAGATGGAGCCACAGCCTCAAACTAGCCCGGCTACTGGTTACTTTGTAAAGTTTCTAACGATATACCGTTTTTACAATCTTTTATGGTTTTGACTTCGGAATGAATTCAAGACCCGCCTGTTGTAGAGGAAACCACGGTAGTATTTAAGAAGTTAAACTGTTATATTATTTCATATTAGTGTGCTTTTTATAAATCTTCCTAAAACAGAAAGCTTAAACTGATTTCCAATTTAAGAGTTAAGAGTGTTATTTCTATTCCATCTTGTGTTTGTAATCAGTAATTACCAATTTACTGTTATTAAATTTCTTTTAAGACTCGGTGTGCAATTTTTATTGAGGTACCATATACACATATGAAGAAGTTGAGATTGTGGTCGATGACATAATTATCGTTGATGACATCAAATTCAAATTGATCATTAGACTAGGACACATTTGCCGGTTGCTGCTAAAATTATAATTCTGAATGTGTTTCTTTTTCTGAAATGGACATCTGGGGAGAATTGATATGAGGACAGCTGAAATGCAGTTTAGGATGAAACAACATCTCTTCGAAATTTAGTTCTGGGGCAATGGAATAAATTAGAAGTGAAATAGAAAAAAATATCTGTTCTAGTTGTAAAAAATGTGTAGAAAATTTTTAAATAAATATTCTAACATTGTTTTATAGCTAAATTCACTCCTTTATTTATATTTACAATAAACATTTTAAAGAATGGATTTTTCACTGCATGGACTAATCGAGGAATCTCACCGATGGAACTCAATACAAATTTGTCAGTTTTCAACATTTGTATGCACGAAGTACCGAAGTACGGTTCTGGATCGTCATTATGGAATTGCGAATCTATTTATTGAGGGTTGCAAAGCGAAACCCAAGAGAAGTAGGCCTGCGGTTAGACCTTCATACAAATTTACTAAGTTAAATATGTCGTAAAAACGGTATATCGTTAGTTACCTATACTAAAGTGGTGAATAGGCTTGAATTTCAAGATCCAAGTTATTTTGTTAAACTATTGATTCAGGCAGCGAATGAAAATAATTTTCGTTTGATACCTGAATCAATATTTCAGCAAAGAAAATAATCAAACAAGAAATATTAACTGGTAATGGTAACGTTAACATTTTCAGAAATCAAAATTTCAGTTCGCCATTCCAGTGCAAGTCACATCACGCAATCCGGTTATTTCCCAATTGTTTTGTTAATCTAAAATAATAAAAAAAAAAACGACGACTTGTTCGAAGAGGTGAATTTTTCCACGCAAAAAATTCGGTACATTACCACTTGCAAAACTTGCAATTTCAATATTTCCATGAAGCTTTGACCAGCTTATTCTTCCTGCATCAGCAACAATCAAGCATTACTGGTGGTGTTGTTATCATTTTTTGTGGTGTGTGGTTTACGGAAATGACCTAAGAGCAACATCTACGATAAAATCCATTTTTATCGTATTTAAAGTATAACTAAAAGAATCCTTTTTTAAGTAAAAATGATTGAGGAGTTAATTGTTATTCAAAATTTCTTGAGTGATATTGATCAACGGATGTGATTTTTGAGAATTAAATAATTGTTAAGCGACGGGCGGACGGAGTCTTTAGGTGATCATTAGGTATATTATTAAATAAGTGAATAAATAATTAAAGCGTGGGCGTTCGGGTGTTTTATTTACCGGATTCAAACGGAGGCTGAATACTACGCCAAATATTACAAGATCAATTTGTTTTGTGTTGGGATCTGAATGCAGCAGGCTTTTTCTATAATTTATCTAAACGAACTATAAAAAATAAAACAAAAACATGAATGAATCTCATATGAAAACAATGCAATGCATTTCCAATGTTTAGAATCTATAGTAATTTTTTCTGCCGAGGTCTCATTGAATTGTAAAATAGCCAATGGGCACCTTTTTATACGCTATATTATCAGTGCTGATGTAGCATCCGCTATTTTGGTTAGTTTTTGCCATTGAAGTGTGGTTGGGTTTTTGTGTGTTTATTGAACTGAGAAGGCTTTTACTTGATGAAAATCCATTTATCAAAATAAATAAGAACTAAAAGTTAAGATTTTCACGAAATTATATATTTTAACATGACAATTGTTTCGACAACACCGTGTCTTTATCAAATTTATAAACATTTGATAAAGACACGGTGTTGAAAAAATTGTCAGGTGAAAATCTGAACTTTTAGTTCTTATTTATTTTGATTTATCAATATATTGAAGTAAGGAAATATTATTTTATTGATATGTGGTAGTGAAATTTTTCATTTAAGGAAAGACAACAGAGACAACTGTAGGATTGCTTTCGGACACATCTCTATTAGAAGTTTGTAGTGAACTGTATTTTGTGATGGGACGCTTTTAAATCTTTATGACAGAGAAGAGCGGAGGAAAGGTGCTTTTTTTAGTTCTGGGTTCAGTGACTTGGGCGGAAATAGTTTTTAGGGCTCTGTAAACACGAGAGTTGATAACCGATGATTTTAGGTCCAGATGGGCCAATGCGACAATGTATTAAGGTAGGTGCACAATGACTCAATGTTAAGTCTGATTTGCTACTGATAAGGATATCTAAGAATGGGACGTTTATAATTCAATGGTATATTAGGGTGTATAGAGTTTAAATGTCTAAGAAAATCTACTAGGGTTTCTTGACCATGAGGCCAAATAACAAAAGTATCATCGACGAAGCGTTTTGGTTTTAGATGGAATGTATCGAGAGCTTTCTTCTCAAAGGCTTCCATGAATATATTCGAGATGACTGGTGACAATGTAGAACCCACAGCTTGTCCCTGACGGTCAAAAATTTGACCGTTATAAGAGGCATCATTTTTGAATTAAGGTGAAAAGGTCTAGTTCCAGATTTTCAGATTTTAATATATCTGAAATGATGTTGAAGAGTTTCAGGAATAGGGACTTTAGTAAAGCGGAATTCTACGTTGAAACTAACCAGAATATTTTGTGGATCTAATGTTATGTTTTTTTATGGTTCAATGAAACGAAACCATCGGTTTTCTCTGTGAAGATTGAAGAGTGTTTTACTGAAAATGAAAATATAACCTAACCTCGTTGTTGTTGCCGCGTAGTTTAAGACCAAAACTGAAATGTTCGCTATTAATATAAAAAGACTTCTACTGTGACATCAATTAATATTTGTAGGATATATTTTGATTATCATTAACATACTCTTAACTCTCTGTTTCATTTCTATCTTTAATATTTGCAAAGTATAGTACACTACTGACATATATTGACAATAGCCTCCAATAATTTAGAATCACACAAGAAATGAAACAACCCGATGAACTGATTGGCAAACTCCTTTGTTGGATAAATTGTCTTTGTAAACCAATTAACCAATGTATCCAATTCTAATTCTTCTGCCTGACATTTTTTACCCTTTTTCGGCGACCCAACGCTGTGCGTGACCTCTCTGTAGCTTGAGAAAAAAAAACTGAAAAACGCACCTATGCTATTAATGTCGCTTGTCATTCTCGATCGCTTGGCGGAAGATGGACCGTCAGCTCCATTTGCAGGCGATGGATATTTTGTTGTTTGTTCATCGAAGCGGTCATCCTCACTGCTTTCCTCTAACTCGATATCGTTTGTTTGCTCGGTTGGGAATATTTCCGGCGTCAAATATTCGCACGATTCCCGCTCTATAAGATTTAAAAAAATATGGTTTGCAGTCCTTTTTTCAAATGACAGTTTTTACCGAATTTTAGTGTTTTATTAGTGCAAAATTACACCAAATATGTCAAGGTCTAAAAAAATAATTAAAAATAAAGTGTTTAAAACCACAGTTATCACGATTCTGAGCAGATATAAGTTAAACTTATATTCGTTCCGTTATAAAAGTATAACGTAAATTGTTAAAGATATTGTGAAAGTCTTGTTACAATCGTCTGAGTATATAAAACAAAAAAATAAATAATTTAAGATAACCTGTTCATGGCTCGACCTATGTCCCTACCTTTCTCGGAATTTCGAACAGTTTCCTCTTCTAAAACCTCATCACTATCATCTACTATATTAACGACGTTAGCTATTTTGGGCGCAGTCCCCGTAATACATTCAGAACTTGCGGCTTCGGAAGTTGTAAGACTGAACTAGAAATGCCGAACAACTTTAGTGGTGATACACGGAACACGTTTCATCAACCCCAAACATCAAATCTACTCAGTGCTGGTAGACGTCATTTTTCGAGCTAAAAACTTAACAGTGTGACATATTTTTCTACTTATGCAACAAATCAAAATAAATAATCTAGACATGTTATGGGCTAAAGTCATTTAAATACAAAAGAAAAATGGAGATTGGCAATTATTGACATTGACAAGAGAGATTGACAATTATGCTACTGCATAAAAGGGTTTGGCATTTCCGAGGACTTTCCTATGTCAGTTAAAAAAAATAAACTACAAGATTATTGCTAAAACTAAGGCTGTCAGAGGCGCTCTGAAACATAGAAAAACGAGCAGGACCAAACTCACAATTTTTCCAGTAGCGTAACAAGATAGTTTGTGAAACCCCGTGTTTGCGGTTCCCAAAATTATTATGTTGTCTGACAAATCGCGAAAATTAATACCGCAGGGGTTGGAACCCGGCCCAAAATATGGAGGTTGGTATTCGCATGGAACCTCTGCAAGTGCATTAACTGAGATTGCTATCGCTCGCAAAATTGATCAAAAAAACTTACCGTCGTTGTATCGAAACTCAATACCATATTCAATATCTGAGGACATTTTTTCCATTGCTGGTAAATCGCAAATCGCTTGTAGTAGGTCTACGGTTGCGCTTGACACAACAGAACGTTTTACATCTGATTTCTTCCCGCCTTTGTTGTATTTCAAAGTAAACCTATAGGTTTCCACAATTTCTCTGGTCTTTTTGTTTTCAAAGATCAGGTACACTTCTTTGAGCTAAAAACGATTAATACATAATAATATGACGAAACCACAGCGCCAAGATTCTGATGATTAGAAGTCAATTTAAGTAGGACAATTCCAATTCTAATCATCAGTGTCTTCATAAGTTCCACTACAGACCAACAAATCAAATCTCTGGCAATGACTTACGTATTCTTTGTTGATAGCGTCGACAATACCATGGCTCACGGCGTGAAAACAGCGTATAATGCGATTGGCCGATTTGCGCTTGAAAAGAACATAAGGCACCGACTCGTAATTTTGCAAACTGAACTCCGATGCGTCAATGTTCATGCGACGGTACATAATGTTGAGAATGGCAACGCGGATCAGTTGCTGCGAGTAGGTTTTTGAAAAGCGGTAACTCCGCACTGCGTTGGATACCAGTTTTCCACTTAATTGCTAACAAAGAATCGTTTGAATGTTAATCGATGCAACACAAAATGTAGCCAAAGAGAAAACGGTTGAAGATCAAAATTTTAGAACTTCAGTTGAACAGGATTATTTAATCGAGCATTGTAATACAAAAATAAAATAAGAATTTTGCTTACCAGCCCGATGACTTTCGATTTCGTAGACATGTTGATGTGTAACACTATTCTAAATTGTTAGAACACTTCTTTAATGGCGAAAATTTGATTTAAACAGCCCACTCGATTATGTTATATTGAGCATGGACCATAGATACAACAAATTAAAATATGTGGTCTGCGATCGCACTAATCACGAAAAAAAAATTGCACCAATCAGAGACCCACGCAACATTACTTCCAATATGCAAAATGTTGTAAACCATAAAGTTTTGATTCTTTTTACGATGTGAATCATTCCGTTCGAATTGCAGAACTCAAAAATAAAGTGCAATGAAATAATTTTATAACAAAGGACATTTATTTTTGAAATTCTATGTGGTGTATGATTCAATGTATGTGAAAAAATGAGCTTAAGAATAAGTAAGAGTTATGGCCAATATTTACAAAATTCATAACAGTGAATTATGCTAAACAATCCCAGAAAGATGTAACAAAATACATGTAAAATTTGTTTGTTTTACAGGTGTTTCTACATACTTTGTACCACAAAAAAAATGTCATTAGTGTTCATACTGTCGTTCGGTTGGAGTCTCCAGCCAATTTATCAACTATCTGGAAAGTGAAAAGCGCCAATTCAATGATATACAGGTCAATTACATTAATATTTAAGTTTACCACAGATAATACTTACTCTACTTATTCCTGGTAAATTGAGTAATGTACCTAATAAAGGCACTCTCCTTAAAAAGTTTATAGCCACAGGGAAAAAGCCACTGTAAAAAAATTCTATAATTTCTAGTACATTTTTGTATAACACATGATTACCTAAACAATAGAGCAAATCCATAACATTCAATGATCATTCCGATCAATGGCCACCCCGCTAGGACTACAAAGATACCCCCAAAGAACGCTAAGCTGCCTTTCACTTTGTGTCGTTGGAAGAAAAAGAAAAATGTTCGTTTGCCTCCAATAACTGTGGCAAGCCCCGATATAAATAATATCTATCAATATATGAATCAAACATTTATCAAAATACGTGCCTGACGGAAAGCATACTCACGTTGCCTAACGCCAACAAGCTTTTGTCAAAAAGCAGCAACATTCCCAGAAATAGGAAGAAAACCCCAAAACCAGCCAATCCCACACCAATTTCTGCAAATAAAACGACATAAAAAATAAAACTAGCTTGTGCCAAAAATGAAAATGACTTACTTTGGGTATCTGTTAATTCAAACATTATTTAAGCAAGTAATTTAATGGTAAAAAATTTCTGATTTGAGCCAAAATTTAACCTCACATAACTTCCACGTCAGAATTAATTAGTTGGGCCCATTTTGACTTAACTTATAGCTATCAGAATTTAAACTTATGCGTCTCCCTGGCGGTTTGTAATATCCTATATCATAAAATGGAACAAAAAGTCTTTATTTACTATATTCCATTGAATTACTACTCAATTGTTTAGCGTTCTGTGATCTGTGATATTCTTTTATTTATCTGTATGGTTCAGGCATAGACCAAAGACAACTACCATTGACCATAGACCAATCATTGCCCACGAGTCGATGCGATAAATATTGCATTGAACTTATGTCAGAACCATTGATGACATTTGTGTGACTTAAGGAAAAAGCAAACTACTATTCAGAATACAAAAGATACTGGCTTTATTTCAGCATTTATCCATAAGCAGATATCACAGAAATTTATCTTACAAAAACGGTAAATCTTAGGCTAAATACTATCCCATACTATGTAATTTGCGCGAGTTGGAATAAGATATATTATCCAGCTAACTAAACAGTTTTTGAAGAAAATATGGCTTAATGGTTCCATCCCGCGCAAAAATATTTTTACAAAGAACATACAATGGCACTTGCACATACAGTTAAACCAACATTGTTTATCCTAACTTAAATACTGACTAGTATTAATAAAAAGTAATAAGGAGACTTGACAAAATTCGGCATATCATAGTTTTTGTTTGTAGTAACACCTCGCAGATCGATCAGCGATTCTCTTCGATTGACTTCCAGAACCCTTTTCTTCTTTGGGAAAACGAGGAGCGCCAGAAGCTATGTGGAAGACAAATGGTGGGGGAGGCGGCTACGACCTCAAATAACTTTGGATTTCTTTGGTTTTGAAAGCAAGTCAATGCAAACTATTATAGTTGAAGGCTCCTTGTTGCCAGGTACGCATTTTTAACGACAACATTGTACGAGACTATCCCGAACACACTTCCGAATGTTCGTCCCATGCGGCCACCTGAAGCAAAATTTCCAAAAATTATATTAGCAAAGAAATAATACCTAATGACAGGAAAAAATACCAATCATGAATTGCCAACTTCCAAAGTTGTATTCTTTAATTAAATTATACAAACAGGATATGGCAATAAAGTCTGTAGTTTCTTTGGTAACAGCACCATCAGTTAAATTCTCAACAAGATTAATAAAAATTTTAAAATATCATATTGCTTTTACACCTAGATATGTTATCAAAAATTCGTTCGAAATAATTAACAAGGTTAAAGACAATTCTAGTTTCATTTGACGTTCAGAATCTATCACTGGGACGGAAAGACAACTGCAGTCCTTTTTGAATTATATTAACTCCTTACATAAACGCATACTATTTACCATGGAGACGAAACTAGATCACTCCCTAAACTTAACTATAATTAAGCTACAGAAAAAATTAAATTTTTCCATAAACCCTCACACGGACACAATAACTCAAGATACTTAATATATTTAGACTGACTAATTAATATACCACTTTTCACAAAAAATTTTGAAAAAGAAGTAAATATTATAACACAAATAGTTTTTGACAATGGTTACAACTCCTCTTTGACAGTTAAGATTATAACTAAAAAGCAGTGTCAAATATCTATCCATATTAAAGACCGAACCCAAAATTGATAAAATAAAATACATACGACAACCTAGCAAGAAAATTACGAAACATTTATATAAATTTGGTCTTAAGATTGCTTTTTAAACTGAAAACACCATAGGATATTTTTTAAGAACAATCAAACCAAATTACAAAAAACTCAAAAATATGGATCAAATCCCAAAATTTATATCCGACAAACAGGTAAAATATATTTAAGAATCGCATTAACGATCATAAAAGTTCCTATAAAAAAAATGTTGGATTCTATGCCATTCATTTAAATTCACAAGTTTGACGATAATTTTGATATTTTACATAGTCAATCCAAAAGCAAAAAACTAAATTTATTTGAAGCTATAGAGATTAATAAAATGAGATATTCGAATCTATTACTTAATATCCAATTGGATGCATCTCCATTGTTAAATTTAAATGTATTAATTAAAATTCTATTAATTCTATTAATTAAAATTCTATTAATTAAAAATCTATTACTACCTGTATATATACATAGGTGCCCGAATATTATCATATTTCGTATTTGAAAAAGGCATGGTGGTAGCAATCATTAAATAATTGTAATACCTAATATCATTCATTACCTGGCAATCCCGACTGCAATACCATTGATTTCCGCATCCGGCGCACACGAATTGGGCGGCCTTCTGATTACAACCCTGGCATTGGGGAACGTCGTCGCCTGCGTCTGAGCTAGTGTCGTCCTTTCGACAGCTTAACACTTCGGAACTTTCGTCGATGACCAATCGGTCAACTCCTTCCTCGCATTCTTCTTCGACCTATACCCACACATTGAGAATATACTTTATTGGAGCTCAACTTTGTCCAATACTTACAATAGATTCCTCTTTTGATGAGGACTCATATTGGCCGCTCACGGGTGTTATTGTTATCTCGTTTCTTGCCTGAAATTTGATAATTTAGTAATTTTATATGCCGCTACTTTTATTGGAAAGATATACCTAAAATTTTACCAATTTTTGGTAATGATTAAAAATGGATATTAAAAAAGTGTATTTAGGGAACACATTAGAATTAAATGAGCGGAGGCTGCCGACAAAAGGGTCAAAGATCTAAAGATTACTTTCCGAAAGGCTTCGTGTTATCTATATGGCAGGCATAATATGGAGACCATAGAACAGATGCATACTGCAGTCTAGAGCAAACCAAAGAGATATAGAGGAGTTTAAAGCAATGTGGAGTAAGCTGCCCCAAGGTCTCGCGTAGACTTGTTTACCACTTCCGCAAAACTAACCAAAACTTAGTTTAGAATCCAAAAAACACCCAAGCTTTTAATGCTAGTGAACCATACTCTTCGAATGACTAAAGCTAATACGACAGCAGAGCATGCTTACGCGATCCAACCCTCCTGAATATCTTCAAATCATCCGCAAACAAAAGACATGGCGATTCCGAAAATACACTATCAATACGTTACATTACAAGTTACAATAATATTATTATTTTATGTAAACGAAAGCAGAGAAGAAATTTTTGCTTTTTGCCGCTATTTGGCCTTCCTATACCGTTTAAGTTCTAGTTCATGGTTCAGTGATAATCAAATTCTACGTTGACAGGAACGAATCAAAAAGAACCCTTTTGCCACAACATGCACAAACATAAAGAGGTAATACAGCTTTTTTTTATTCGATATCAATTTTTCATTTTTATATTATAAATACACACGTACCATACCCAAATAAAAAATACTGTTAATGCTTTAGAAATTATTTTATCACTATTCCAAGGCCTAAGTTATTATATTATTTTGTTATATATATTTCTGTTTATGTTCATTTTTTTTATACTTATATTCTTTTGACTTGCTATAATGTGTCTTGTACAGGACTAGTTAAAAGTATTTTACTCGCCTTGCTCGTCGACAAGATCTCCGATATTGACATGTTGCTGCCCTGCAATAAACCGCCCGTGCTGATGGTGGGGGTCGAGATCATATGATTGCTTCCGCAGCGTTCCGGTGCTGTGAGCAGGCGCGCAAGCGTAGGACTAAATGAAGTTTTGCTGTTGCCGTTCGGGACATTTGAACTACCGTTGTTTTGATGGTGTTGCTTGGTGGCCGTCTATATAAAACAGGGGTTCAAAGAAAAAGAAAGTTTGAAGATGGATGCAACTCGCGCATACATTTGTCAAAATTCCGTGCAGTAGGGAATTCGTCGGGGCGACGGTGTTGGTGGTGCTGACGGGATGGACCGTCACCTCCGGATACGGCGGTGGCGGTCTGCTGACGTGCTGCAAATGCATTTGCAGCTCGTTTTTCTCGTTTTGCGACAACTTTGCAAACTGCACCAGAATGTCTTTGAACGAGGTGACGTCCTGACCGAAAGTTGGGTCCGGTTGCGAGGACCTCGAGTTTTCACGGCTCTGTAAAGCCAGTTCCTGTCTGTATGCTTTGTTTATTGTCATCGTTTCCGACTTACCCCGTTTATTGTATTGAGCAACAGTCCCATATCGTTAGGCGCGTCCGATACTTTCTGATTGACACTGTAATTTCCACCTGAAAATCCCAAAATACTAGTTTTGCCATCACACTGAGGATGTCTTATTCTCCTACCTCTTCTCGGCACCGATTCTGGATGCTTCTGCCTGTAAATAATGGCAAATAACTATTGAGCCTAACCTGATAAGTCCTGTCATTATTTCACCCATTGGAGACTAAAGCAATCAATTCATAAGGCAGTTAAATTAAACAAACGTTAGTTTTTAAGCGTTTCAAACGTCCTTTTCGACGTTTATTTCTGCTAATTTCGGAAATACATGATTTACAAATTTTTTTTACTCTATTGAAAATTTCTGAGAAATCATCCAATTCGATTTTTTAAATATTGCATTGTTTCCTTCAGTTTTTGTTTTTTAGATATGCTAAAAACGGCCTTTGCACCATTTTGTAAGCGAATATAAAAAACCAAGTTCGAGATTTGCGGTAAAAAAAATTGTATTACTAAATTCAAAACAAAAGAAGAGCCTAGAACATATTTTCAGATTTCCAAGATGGTCGCCTGAGGGCGTAACCAAATTTTAAAAGAGATTTTCCTTTGAAATCAACGTAATATGCCTAAAAGTTGTTTTTTGAAGCTAGACATTATTCAAGAATTCTTTGTGTAACACATTCGACACATTAGATGTTTTTTTAAACAAACAAAAGTCTGTGAACTATACACGTGTTTTTCAAAACAAAACACTCGTATTTGTTGCGACCCATTTAGCTTTTTTCAAAACTCAATTTTATAATTTTAATGACATTCTTGATACAAAAAAGTCAAAAAGAAAACTTGTAGAGGCATAATGACCGCCTTTTTTAGAATTTTACGACGAACTAAAATTCCTTTCTTCGACATATTTGACTAAGGACACGATATCGGGATACGAGTTTCACCATACTATTCAGGTATCACTTCATTAGATTTTTATAAAAAGAAAGTCATATTTTTGCATTTATTTTTTTCGAGAATTTTGCATATTTCTGTTATATCAAAATCTGTATTTCTAAAACTATCAGAAATTTGGTAATAGAGAAAAGAAATTCAAATAAGCTTTAAAACCATTACGTTTTAGTGGGGACCATGGTTACAAGATTTTACCTGTAGTCCGCTATGATGGACTGTACGTCAAGAATTGGCCTTTGTTTTTGTCTGAAGTCTAACGCGCTGTTGATGTCGAACTGAGACTTGGGAAAATTGCCCTTCTGGACGGGCTTGTCCAGGCTGGATCGAAGGATGTTCGTTTTCTGATTCGATTTGAGCACGCTCTGTTGACTGAGACCATCCAAGGCGATATCCCCTAGATTCGTGTCGTTCAACACTATCACTTGCCTCTTGCGTTGCAACCTGATCAAGAGCTCCTCTTTGAGTTTCTTCAAATGGATCAGATGGTTCCATTCACGCTCCTAATAAACAAAGGCATAGTCAAGCGGTTGACTACTTTGAAGGCAGTAGGTAGAAGATCTGCCAATGTGCTGAATCAAAATTTCTGGGGCGCCGGAAAGCCCGCAACAAGGAACAAGAAAATAAAAAATAACCTCTTTTTTTTTCTCAGGGTAGGGGTGTCAAAATGATTTTTGTCGTTCTCCGATCGGTATAATATTTACCTTTTCCTTTGCCATCTCGTTCAAGGCCTTAATTTCGCTTAGCGTTTGTTCGCTCAGCACGGTAATCTGCTCCAAATTGTTGGACTGCGTGATTTCGATGAAGTCGTTGAAGATCTTGTCTCTGGAAGCGAAATTCTCCTGGATCTCGCTCTTTAGTCGTTTCAACGGCGTATCATCTTCGTCCAGTTTACGCTTGTGGTTCTCCGATACCGGGGTGGTATCTTTATTTTTATCCTCGCATTCTCCGTCAGATTTATCGATCGTTTCCTCTTTCACCACGGTCTCCTTGCAGCGCTCCTCTTCGTTTTCACTGCTATTCGTGCCGTTCTGGTTGATATTTTCCTTTTTAACGGCTTGAGATTCGTCGACGCCGCGATCATCGGCGTGACCAGGAGACGGAGGATGAACAACGTCGCACCCCTCCCGCACGTCTTCCATGATCTGCATTTTATTAAGGCTGGAAAAATAAAGAAGCTTTGAGGACGGGGGAAACGACGTCGCGATTGGTCCGCGCTGGTTTTTGTTGGACTAAAACCTACTTCGATTTATCGAGTACCTGGGAGCGTTAACGTATTTTTTTGAACGATAACGTTAAAAAATTTGTCGAAAAACCTGTGTAGCTAATAGATGATGGCAGTAACAATTGATGCTTCAATGATTTTCTGCACGTGCCCCTAAATTTCAGACACTAACCCGTACTTTGCGCCATTTCCTTTCTAAACAGCGATCTTGACACCCTTAGTAATTTTTTTAAACATTTAACGGTTTTGTTGGTTGGGAGCACACAATATTGTGTTCTTTTGTTTGTTTCTCAAAATTTTGTTCATGGTGGTTTCTATTCGAAGAATGCGCAGGGCCTAGCTATCTAGTAGCTATATGCGCAAAAAAAGTTTCAAGCCGTTGGTTAACGAAATAATTTATTCCAACCATGCGCAATCAAATTGTGCACACCTGGTATAGTAATAATAATAACGCAACTGATAAAAGTTGCGGCCTTTCACACAATTTGTGTAATATATTCGAACCAACAGTCGCGCAAAGCTTTAAGGTCATCAGCACCGAATAAGAATAACCTTCGACATCGCAGACCGTCGTTGTGCAACTCTTTTAAATAATAAAAAAATACTGTTCTAGCCGTGTCAGAAGTTTCAGAGCCGTGACCTAATTGCCACAGCTCGATCGAAAAAAACCTAGATCCATGCTTCTTATAATCGATTTTTTTTTTGGCAACCGTAATTAACAATAAAATAGGAAACGTATAATCAGTATGTTTAGGAAAAACAATAGCTTCGAACTTCCCGCAGCCGTATTTACCTTTACCAATATCGATCAATATAATCAGCGGTTGCCTAAGCATGGGTTCACTAATCGCAGCAGAAGCGGTGACGTCACGTAAACGCGCGAAATGCGTCGAGGCATCTTTACCGAAACAGACTCCCCCGAAGACATCCCAAACAAACAAAACAAACTCCTCACTTCCGCCAAAGTTTTCGCTGAATAATAAATGGTCGTCGGTTTCTGTTTGGAGCGAAGAAAATTGCACGGAACTTTGTACGTGCTCGCGTGTCGCACGCGTACATACGCGGGTTGCACTTTGCGCTGCGTGTGTTTCGACGTTTGTGCCGTGTGCGTCGCGTGAATACTTTCAATATTATGCACGCACGGCGGGAGAGGAGAACGGGCGCCTTCGCGACGGTCGTCGCGATGTGCACCGCCATTGGTCTCGTCGCGGAAATAGGTCGGGCGGACGGTAGACGTTGCCACGTCCTCGATGATAAAATCGCTTCTTCCAGCGCGCACACGCTACGATTCCAGATATTTTGAACGAAAACTTCTAATTCAGTAAAAGTTGCAGTCAGCAGTTGTTTGCTGGTTTTACGTATGGTTTTTTCAGGTGCCTATATAGATTCCGTACATGTTATATCTACAGAAATAACTTTTAGGATTGCAACTGGCAACTATTCCGCTAGTATTTATGGTATAGTATATTAATTTCATAATATTAATTAGATGACATTGTTCGTGTTCGTAAGTTGCAGCACAGAATGGAATAGATCCGTTGCAAAAGTCACAGACCATAAGACAAAGTATAGACAAACAAACTTTATTGTACGACACGAGACAACTTCTCCGTGCATTTTACTTAATCAAATTAAAATTGCTTACAAAACTGCTTGTATCTTTTAATTGGCAATTTTTTGTTGGCGGACGCGATGGAAATTTTTCGAGCAAAACGTGTTTGATTATTTTTGTTTACTTGGGCGTGGGTCTATAACGAAAACCCATAATCCCAAAACTATAAATAAAATAAAGCTATATACTTAAGGCTAATTTGGGTTACACTAAAATACATTTTTTCTAAATCAAATTGTTCATTCACAGAATGATAATAAAAGTTGGAATTAAATGTCTTTATTTTATTTGCACTTATTTCGTAATTTTGACTTTATAAACCTATAACTTTAAAAAAAAAAACGCAATTAATTACTAATTTTGTATGTAAAATTTCTTGCAATTTGGTATTAAACTTGCGCCTCCCGTGCTTTAGGCGACATTTATTCAGGAATATCGTTTTCCTAAAATGTGCCGCAAGTGCCGCACAACTGACAACGCCGCAGCCTCGAACGAGGGAGGTCACGGACCTGCAGGCAAAAGTAACGAACCACACACGCTCACGTTGGAAGGGATAGACGATGCACAGCAAGCGCAAGAAGAAAATTTTTAGATGACAGATGATACAACGTCGGAGTTGTTTGAAGGAACATCCCAAATTTGCATCCGATTTGGATCAAGTGTGTGCCAGAGAAAAGGAACCAGTAGAAGCTATAGGTCAGTAAAGTGAACGAAAAAGAGGAGGACGTCATTATAATAGATAAAACTCAACTAAATTCCTATCTATTCTAATAAACTTAAACTTAAAAAAAGTAAAATCAAAAACCAAACGTTTTAATATTTCTGCAGGAGTGAAGGAAATAATTAAGAGGACGTCATTATACAAGATAAAACTCTACTAAATTCCCCTATATTCCAATAAACTTTTGTAAAAAAAAGTAAAATCAAAAACCAAACGTTTTAATATTTCCGCAAGAGTGAAGGAAAGAAGACGATGTCATTATACAAGATAAAGCAGAACTAAATTCCAATATCTTTTAATAAACTTTTGTCAAAAAAGTAAAATCAAAAAATAAACGTTTTAATATTTCTGGAAACACCTTCATCAACTTTATCCAACTTACTCCTGCGGAAGCCCTCCAACCACCCCTTCTTCGCCCTCCGAGGCCACGGGCACTAGACCGACGGCGAGCAACACGGCGATGGCGCTCTCCGGCGCCTCCACTTCCTCCTTGAGGAAGTCGTCGGGCAGATTCTGGTCGGGCACCGCCCCACGCTTCAGCCTGCACCTGGTAGGTAGTCCCAGGAGTTCGTGTTGAACGTCGCGTTCGTAACTCGAACCACTGAAGTGACGCGAGCAAATCCTCGCGGTTGCGCAATTGTTTAACGGTTTTCCGCACGCCTCGAGCCACTTGGTGCGAGTCCGGGAATCGCCAGGGAAGCGATGGTACCGCACGGAACCGCCCTTGGTCTTGCGATGGGTGCTGTTGCACCCTGCGATCGCGCACTGCGGCATTTTGATGTCATCGAACGACGCCTGACTTTAGTGTCGGTTTCTTACAATTCGGTAGTTATAAATGTCTTTTAAGTTTTCTGGTTGATGCGTGAGGAACGGTCTAAATATCTAAATTGTAATCAATTTTCATTTGAGAGATGTTAAATTTGAAGCGCATGCCAAAATGAATAGGTCGAACAATACAAGAGCCATAAATAGTTGCTAATGACCCCATAAGGTGAACTAACAAATATTCTAGGAAAACCAAATTCTTTATGTTTAATATTCCCTTGCAGTACAGTCGTTTCCAACTTTTCAAAAAGGAAGTTATACAAAACGTGTAAGGTTCATTTCAAATGTTAATGTCGATAGCAGTAGTTCAAAATTGGGACACCATGCAGACAAAACAAATGGATTCCGAAGAAACTCATTTTCGATGCCTGCCACAAGCAAGGGATTTGGTTTTCGTAAAACATTTCTTAGTTCATTACTACCAATTTTGGTAGCATCATGCATCTAAATTCATAACTTTTATCCCATGTAACTGACTCAATAGTAATCTAAGAGTTTAGAAGTTACCCAGATGATCCCGCTAGTAGAGCGTAAAGCAAAAATAGATGAAGCCACAGGTATGGAACATTGGATTGAGGATCCAACACGGAATATCTAGGTATTGCTGATGATAAGTGTTTGACAATTATGGTTGAGTAAAATGCCTAATGATTGCTCACAGTTTTTTTTTATTCTCAATATTATAAATATCAGAAGAGGAAGATGTAGAAGCAAGCGACTTGAACCTCGGACTGTAAGATAGGATTGTAGGTTCGAATGTTGATTGGGATAGTAGCCAAAGCAAACCTACATTCTCGTACCTTGTTATGGTTAATTTGGATCTATACAAATAGAACTGACTGTTGATAATGACATTCTGGACCTAAGTTGAGGAAACGAATGAAGCCCATAACCGGGGCTTGCTTTATATCATCAAAAAGGTACACCAAAGAGGTCACGAATTTTTATATCGCGATGATAAATGACCGGGTGTCACGTAATTACCATTAGGAAGTAATCGTTTAACGACGCCATTGTTGAAGATTCATTCACTGCTACACAATGCCGATTAGTACGCACAGCGACGTCTACATTTTAATAATAGGTGTTGTTTGTGTTTGTTTAAAAAATTATAGTGTCGTCCTATCATGACCTCGTGTTCGTTATTTATGTCGGTCGAACGGGGAGATAAGGAATTTTCGCTCCAGTTTCGGGTTTAATGACGAAAGAACCTAGAAGGTCGTTGAATTCGAGTAGGTACCATACGTATAGGTCTGGTATATAATGACTCTACGCACGAAGAAGTCAAGAAGTTTCTTTAGAAGCAGATTTCTGTATAAAGAATGAGCTTATCTAAGAGGATATAATAGGTAGGACGCTTGAGGAAGCAGCTTTCCCACTCTACAAGAAAGACGTTCGCTGTGCTGTGTTTTCTTTGAACACTTTACATTAATTGAGGCACTTGAAATAACAAACAAATGAAACTAACCAAACTAAAAAAATGCCAATATATAACCAGAAGTGCTGTTAAGAATACATAAGCATCTAATTAAAAGCACTTTTTTGGTGGGAAATTTAATTGGGACTTAAAATAAATGATTTAAAATTCTTTCCGGCGGGTTTTTCCATTTGGCTTTAATTGAAATTCATCTAAATCAACTAAACTAAACTAACGGTGTTAAAAATATTCATTTTCCATGAAAATTGCACAATTAAAGTTATATTACAAAAAGAAAGTGTCGGCACTGATTTCCGGTACAAAAGGAAGTTGTCGTCGTATCAAAAATATATCACGCGGATGGAGCTATTGATTATCAATTAACCCAAAATTTTTAAATTTATGTTAATTATAGTTAGGTACTATATGATGTCAACGTTTCGGAGTAAGACACCCTGTATGTGATTTGATAATTTTTTGCACATTCTGACTAAACAGCGATATCTACACACTTAACTCTTTTTTGCCTGCGATCTAACCATATTTTGAGAAAATTCTTCCGTAAAAATTCCGCATTCATACTTATTAATGACCACGTTGGTTCTTGAATGCCGCAAGGTCATTGGTTAAAAACGATTCCAAGTCTCGCGCGTGCGCATGCTGAATGGAGCTTCTCAAAAAAATTTCATAATTCATTCAACGTTCCTGTATTATCAGCATTATGCCTCCATATTACTAGTAGCAATAAAGGTGCACGTAAGAAAACTAAAATCTTTAACATATACGCACCACGTGCTATTTTTTATTTATTCGCATTTTTCATTTCAGCAGTTAATTACTTTCCTAAACCTCAAGAGAAAGAAAAGGATTAAGGGACAGATTGTTGAAAAGAATATGAAAAATATAATTTTTATGATCCGTTGTGAAAGTTTACGGAGTATATATTAGTTTATTTTTTTATTAATTAATTTAACACTGACAATCATTTTTTGAACAACGGTTAAAATTAGTGCATTTTTAAATTTGTAAATCAATAAAGTTCTTCAAGTCATTAGGAAATCTCTGAAATCTTTGTGTATACCTTGAAATTTTTCGTGAAATCTTATGGTTGTGTGAAATCTTGTGTACCACTTTTGGATGGTGAGGTGCCACTCGGGCAGTATCTACGCTTTGTTGATTACCATGGTTGGCGAATCATAGGTGCGACGCGATAAGATAAGTCGTGAAACATTACGTTTTTATTTTTAGTCATTGATCCTAAAAGTAGGTATACAAGCGAACGAGGTCACGGCTGAAAACGCCGGTGTACCCAGAAACCGGAGGTGTTCCGACACCAGAATTATATCTGCTAGTTCCCGGAGTCAGTCAGTTTAAATAAAGGTGTATTTTTAGTGTCGCAACTATTTTCCCGTGCGTTATCAATTGCAAGGTTTTTGCGGCCGGTTAATAAGGTGCACTTTTAGTACAAAGGTCGGGGCAAAGTCACGCGCGATATCACTCGTTTTATCCGAAAACTATTACGTTGACCTTGGGTAACGCGTATTCTTTCGGCGTATCGATAAGCGTTTTCCGTATTTGTGCAACCGAAATGGAAAAAGGAAATTGAAGCGGGCGAAACCCTCCCTTCCCTTTGTTTGGTTGAAAGGCAAGGGAAATGGACGATAGACGGTATAAAATTTTAAAAATGTTGACGCCGAAGAGTCTCTCTGAATCAGACCTTTAAAGGGTGAATCTTTGATTCGTTTTAAGGCCCACACTTTAATAAGTGAACGTTGATCTACGTTTGTGTGATAAGAGGGGAATCCAAAACGAACATTTTATTTGGTTTTATTTTCTGAAAGCTGTTCATAATTCATAATTCAATTTTTGACCTGTTTTAATAGATATTAGTTTGCAAAATATTTAAAAAAAACTTCGTGATTCAACTCCACTCACTACACACCAATAATTTTGTCTTAACCCACTGCCTACGCTGGCTTAATTTTAAACCCGTTTTAATAGATATTATTTTTCACGACAACGAATGCAATAATAAAAGCAAACATCTAATGACGCCATGTTTGGTGTCTTTGCGAACTCTCCATCCTGGTTCAATTTTAAACCCGTTTTTTAAAATAATGCACACAAAAATAAACATCTAATGACGTGATATGATAGTAAACAAATCTTATTGATAACGTTTACGCGATGCATTTTCAAAACTCAACTATAGTCAGTATAACCTTGACAATAAGTAGAACAGCGGATTACAATCTCACCCTTATATACTGGTCCATGACTTTTTTTTAAAATCATCAGTTGAAGTAAGCAATTTCGAGGTTATAAAGTCCATCCAAGTAACTCCAGAATAAGAAACCACAGTTTTATGAATTACGTCGCAGCAGTAGGTTGTCCTGACAAAGCAAGATTTATCTTTATCCGATTGTTCCATTAGTGTATTCAAAATTTTGAACTTAACAAAAAAAAAAAAAAGAAGACGCGAAATCGCAACGACGTAGGAGGAATTGGGACGACTTATGTGAAACAAGTTACCAAACAGGTGGCCCGAAAGACTCGAAGACTAGTGCGAAACCCCGAAGCACCGAGGCGTTTTGTTTTTCAACCTCGCTCGCCAAAAACGATCACTGCGCACGCGCACTCGTCACTCACACGCGCTTTTGAGGGGTCTGCAGATGTTAAACCCTTCGGTCCGACGCGCACCACCTTAAACAACCACCGTAAAAAAATGTTCGACGGTATCCGTGGAGATTACGGAACGAAACGCGGTACCGGGTACCGTCACGGTTCTGTATTGTTCTCTTCTCAATGTCACAGACCGTGTACGTGGATAATAATATGACGACCAAAGGAAGAGAATGAATCAGACTGAACGCGAGCGACGACGGTCTGTGTGTGTGTGGTGTGCGAGCCATCCGTCTCCCTCTCTCGCTCTTTCGCGCGTCCCTCGGCGTCGTCGTCGACTTGAGCACCGCTGACGTCACGGGCGCGGTCGACCGTCGTCTACGTGGGGCGCCGGGCCCGATCGATCCAAAGGGTGGAAGCGTCGGCTACGCGGCAGCTGAGTCCGCCGAGAGGCTTGCGGCAGTTTCCTCTTTTGCCCACCACCACCTCGACGATGGGTTTGGTTGGGTAAGGTGGGCAGGGAGGGGGTCTTGTATACCGAACCACCTTGGGAGGGTTTCGTTCTTAGACGCCGACACTAACCTAACGTTTTTTTCAAGGCTACTTGTAGCGAACTTAAGAAAACATAGGTTCCTATTAAATCGGCATACGGTGGTTTTAGTTACCTGCGTTGTGTTTTTACTAGAAGAAATAGTTATATATTATCATTTCATGATGTTAGAAAATAATCTTGAAAAACGTTGTTTAACAATATTATTATATCTCTGTATTGAATACGCGAATTAAAAAATATCCGAGAAAGAATACGAGATGCAAATTAGACAATTCAGCAAGATATAAGAAATTAAAGCAAAAAACGTCCTTAGTTTTGTGTCGTTCCCGTAAAGTCACGTACTAGTACTTGCTTAAAAATATAAATGAATAGGAAAAATATATGAAAAATATTTTCCCTTCTGTGTAATAAGTAAATATTTTAAGTACTAATACCCTATTTTCCTGTTCTATAAGTCAATTCCTTTTAGGTGTTTTAAATGTATTATCAAAAAAACTCAAACTCAAAAAAAACTACTTTTTCAATATACAACAAAGTTAAATTAATGTATGTTTCACATATTGAATTATTCTCCGTAACAATTTCAAAATTGTGTAAATGTGAACTATACAAATATTATATAATTATATATATATATATATATATATATATATATATATATATATATATATATATATATATATATATATATATATATATATATTCTCACGTATTGATTCACGGATGGAAAAATGTGATGACACTATATTCCGGGATATCATCCGTTCGCTCGTTGAACTCCGACTGGAATCCTGCATCCGACTGGAATCCTGCAAATCTTGCATCCGACTGGAATCCTGCAGACGTTTCGCCAAAATCTCACTTGGCATCTTCAATGCTCGCGCTCCGAGTGTTCGAAGTGTTTTCGGAGCGCGAGCATTGAAGATGCCAAGTGAGATTTTGGCGAAACGTCTGCAGGATTCCAGTCGGATGCAAGATTTGCAGGATTCCAGTCGGATGCAGGATTCCAGTCGGAGTTCAACGAGCGAACGGATGATATCCCGGAATATAGTGTCATCATATATATATATATATATATATATATATATATATATATATATATATATATATATATATATATATATATATATATACAAATAATTATAAATTTTGTAAATTATAAATTTTGTAATGAGAACTGTGTTTATTAGCATTGAACGACTCGGAAAGTATCAACTCCAACGACGGACGGCGATGGAAAAAGGGTGGCGTCATATGCAGTCCCTACGTCAGACCATGCTGTGATCATCAAGTGACTCATACACGAAACTATTTTACGATCGCAGCTTTTGATCGGCGCCAATTGCTGTAACACGCGATCAATATCATCCCTCATGGTTCCGACCTTCCTCCCCTCATGTCCGGACTATTTCGCACCCCTCTCCTTTGCGCCCGGGCGACCCTCACCCGATGGCCACGTGCCAAGAATTAATCTCAACCCCCTCTAACCGGCTTTTGCGATCACTACGGTAGATTTAAATGGCCATTTCATTTTTGTTTCGCGAGAGTTGTTGGACGACGGATGGGCGTAAAACAAATTGCATACTTCGACACCTCAATCAACGACGCAATCATTGCATCTTTTGCGATTTAGGGGATCCGTAGACTTTGCAATTCATTTATGTCTTAAAGCAAATGTCAAAGTTTACAGAATATAACTATAATCAGTTCCCTGATTCTTAATAGTTAAACTCACTTATTCTTTTGCATGAACCTTGATGAAAACGCGTAGATACATTCTGATTTAACGACTCCCAAAACCCAAAAACAAGAAACTTGTGTATAAAAATTTAATTATTTTACTTATGCTATGATTTACTATAGTCAGTAATATGCTACAATTTGGATCAAAATATATTGTATTTTATACAGTTCTTAATTTTCTCTGAATTTTAGGTATGTAAATATTTAACAGGGGTAGCGAGTAGCACTTTATTACGAACCAGGTAAGAGATAGGCTACTTCAGGAATTGGCAATCCTGCCCTATGCGAGCCACTGTTACCGTCTACCTTCCCCCCCACAGGAAGGAGCAGGTCACTTACCCTTATCCTATCCCTCGAATCATAATATCCTCACATATCCCAAACTCCTTGACATTGGGAAGCAGCTACGTCAATACCACATCAAGACCATCGAAAAATGATTTCCCTAAGGATTTGATACTAGACACCCATAGGCGACTATCAAATTTTGATTACATCGGCTATGATTCTGCGATACAGAAAGCAAACGGAAAACTACTGTATTAATAATTCCAAACAATCTCTATGGCTGACGAAAATATAAACACGGCCCTCAGTCCGGGGCACCCTTTAAATGAGGAGAGGTTGCTAAGAATATCCCCGTCGGCTACCATGGAAACAACTACATGAAACGTCAATGTTGAAAAAAAAAGGCAACGTATGGAGATCCGCGGTCTAAGCGAAATCAGATGGATTGACACTGGCCAACAAAAGACTTAAAGGACAAATATCCTACTCGGGAGGGTCATAACATAGGCATGGAGTTGCTGTTATACTGTCATCCTTGATCAATAAATCGCTAAACAACTTTATACCTTGCAGTGACAGAATAATGATGTCGCTATTAAGAACAATCTATAGAACAATGAACGTAATTCAGGTTTATGCTCCAACATGCGATAGCTCAGAAGAAGAAATAGAAAGTTTCTACGACAAACTAGAAGAGATAACGAAACTTGTGAAAAAGGGTAAAGTGACTGTTGTTATGGGTGATTTTAACTCTAAAGTTGGATCGGGGACGGATAATGAAATAGTCGGACAATACGGCCTTGGACAAAGGACTCGTTCAATTTTGTGCAGAAAATAATCTCATCATCAGCAACACATTCTTCAAAGTCCCACCCAGACACCTGGCGATAGAACCAGAATCCAGAAAGATATCATACTTGTTAAAAAGGATATGAAGAAATTCGTAAAAGCAGTAGAAACATACCCGGGAGCGGATGCAGGTTCGGATCATAACCCTGTACTGATGAAGTTTCCAATGCATAGATTAGACAACAAATAACAAACCCTATCGATATAAAGAAACTAAAAGATCCCAAAAGAAAAATGCAAATAGAAGGTCAGTTAGATTTAAGGACCAAACAGATAAAACGAATGGAAACATCGAACCACAATGGATGACGATAAAACAAGAACTGAAAATTATGCATTAACATTAAAGATTTGCAAAACCTAATTGATAGAGTCGTATGTCAGAGTCTAGATTGACAATGAATGTAAGGAAGACTAAATGGGTGTTAATAACAAAAAAGGAAACTGCTACCCACGAACATCTTAAAGTTGGAGAGAATGTCATAGAAGGGGTATCCACATTTAAATATTTGGGTATCAACTTAAATGAAAAGTGGGATCCAAGGAAAGAGGTAAGCTCCAGAATTGCACAGGCCCGCATGACATATATAAATATGAACACATTCTTCCATAAAACTAGAATTACTCTGGAACTCAGAATGAGAATGTGTTTTCTGTGCTGTGAGTGTTGGACCCTTGATCCTTGCTTCGAAAAAAGGCGAGGCTTTCGAAATGTATATATACAGGCGTCTTCTTTGTATTCCCTAGGTACGGAAAGAAGAAACACGGAAGCACTAACAAGGATGAACAAAGAAAAAGAACCTTTAACAACTATAAAAATAAGAAAAACCCAATACTTTGGACATATCATCTATCGGAAGAAGATGAAAGACATGCGAAGATGGTTTGGATGTTCGTCAAATGATATTTTCGGAACATCAGTTTCCACAATTCGTTTAGCTATATGGATCGCCAACCTTCGTAATGGGACGGCGCAACAAGAAGAAATATTTGACGATTAAAACAAAATTTCACGTGATTCAGCCTTGAAATTTTTAATCGCAATTGTGGCAAATATTTATTTTATGGTTCTTGATGAAGTGCGAGTTTCAGAAACTTTCGCCAAATTAAGCGAATCATCTACATCAAATTGGGATCATCATCTAAAGTAAGGAAGAAAAAGAAAGGATCGAGAAAATGATTGAAGCGAAAGACTTTATATTAAAAAGAAGAAAATTATTTAAAAAAAAGAAAAACGAAAAGTCATGCATAGACGACGATATTTCAGATGAGTTGTTGATGGTACATGATTTATATATGCGGTAATTAAAGTATGATTCATGAGCGAATTATTAAGTTTATGAATGAAAAATAAATACAATAGCAAAGTTTAAACTTTTGCAATTACGTATACTACTTTTTGAGTGGGAAGCACATGTGTAGGTATGAAGAAAATTGATACTAATGAAAAGAAAGGAAAAAAATGGTTATCTGCGGACTAAGACAGACCAGAATAAGACAGATAGATAGTCTTGGATGTGTTGAAAAATACAATGTTAATTAAAAATTAATGAATCCATGTCCTATTGTCAAAAATACCGTATGTGGGAGAGACCAACTCCAAGTTGCGATTTTATAAAAAAAATTAAGCTGGTTGTTTGACTTTTTGTCGAAATATATTACATAAATATTTGGAATTCAATTATCTCTTTCAGTTTTAATTTTATTCTATATAAACGGGAATATAGAAAAATTTTAAAATTTCAGTCTACGAAAAAGGAAATTTGGAGCGGATTTTGCATCTCACAGATTCAATTGTTCTATGGACGTGCTAATGACTGACGAATGAGAAAAGGGCCCTGCAGGCTTCGAAAAATCGAAATTTTCACGGCGACAAATAAACGAAACAGACGAGACGAAAAAAATCCCAAAGCCAACTCGGTCCACGGTCCGCGAAAGTCACGTAGAGGTCGCAGCAGCGCCGCGTTCCGTTGGCCTCGTGCCACATAGACACCGGGGGTTCAAGGCTTCCCGACGCTCGATGGAGATGATGCCCAGAAATATCGACGTTAATTAACTCGGCGGACGTTCCGCAACCTTAAAAGCACAGCGCACGACGTACGTGGGGGTCTTAACCTCTCTTATGATGACCGATCCAATGGGGTAGAGTGATTCAAGCCTCTTACATTATTTCGTTCGTTTTGATAGCCCAAAATTAATTTTAGCGTGCATTTATTTATTTATTTTATTTTAATTAGTCAATAGTTTCCAACCAAAAAACCTGGTCTACACTGTATATAAAAAGTATTTTAAACATTTTATTTATTTTATTAACAAGTATAGAACTATGAAACGTTAATAAATAAAGCAGTAACATTTACATTTCTGTGATTACGACAATAAAAAATTTTGACCAAAAACTATACAGTGTGATTTCAATTTCAAGTTTTCTACAGTAAAAAGTTTTAATCTTGTGCCTTAAAAGGCTCCGTTTCTTGAGAAGATTAGTGTCACTAGTTCGGTAGGAAGGTTGTGTGGTCGGATACTGAAGAAGCGTATTGAACTGGAGAACAGGGATGTTGCTTTCTCCTCTCTTGTTTACAATTTTTATACAAGAAATACTACAAAAATGAAAACAAAAATGCTCAGGTATGGGAATTAAGGATGGCGACCACTTCTTGTCAACATTATTCTTTGCCAATGGCGAAGAGCATATAGATTTTATGTTAAGGAATCTACAAGAATATAATCTAGCGGGAATGAAAATTAACATGTCCAAAACAGAATACTTAAGAATAGGTAAACAAGATAAAGATCCCGACTTGTGGTTAAGACAGGTTAATCAATGTAAAGAGCATAAATACCTTGGTAGTATTATATCTAACAAAGGCTCATCTGTACAAGACATATAACGTAGAGTACAACAGGGACAGAGGAGTGTACGAGTATTGAATCCTTTACTTTGGTCCAATCAAATATCTCTAAAAACAAAATTGACAATATATAGAGCAATCGTAGAACCAATAATGACATATGGAGCAGAATGTTGTCAGCTAAAGGAATCAACGAGGAGGAAAATAGATGCTGATAGATTTTCTCAGAAGATCATGTGGCATATCTGGTTAGAACACATACCAGAAGACGACAATCAAATAGAAACACATACAACAACTGAACGAAGTGAAACAAGACAACTGGTATGGGCATGTTTGACGAATGGCAGAAAATAGATGGTGAAGAAGAGCTTTTTTGAAAAACAGTGCTAATCTAACTTAAATTCAAAAAAAAAAAAACGCAGGAAAACATGAAACCCAACATGAAAATGAAACATTTCAGTTCTCCCGTCTTTAGTTTTTGGACCTTTTGAATCGATTTATTAATGGCGAAATTGTATAAATAAGGAAAGTGTTTAATTAATTTATAACGAGAAATTCCAAACAATCGAAATTACTACTCTTATTTATCGTAAATTTGTATTAATTAAAAATTTGTTATCATATGAAATACACGTCGATTAGTAGTTTCAATTGTTCTGTTTTTGATGTAAGAAAAATGGCAAACCCTGATTTTTTTGTAACTAAATTTGGAAGGATAAATCAACTTACACATGATTGCCAAATTTGATGGTTTATTCCTTCTAATGTATTAGGTATATAATACCAGCACTTAATAAGGCCATTAGGCCAAACGCGACTAAAAAATAATGAATTATCGTTAAACATTCCCAACAAGTCAAATCAATTTTAGTATTTATTATTTTTATAATATTTTATAAAGTAATTTAATACACGTATTCTCAACGAGGCCATTAGTGTCATATGTTGTCCTTACGACCTTATTGTAAACCGATAACCTTCAATATAGAAAGAGGTATTTCCAAAAACTATCCAAATCTTCGACAAATTTAATGACAAGAACTTCTTTCTGTACACCGTTCTATAAACTTTTTGTACTACCGACGGTTTAAAATAATTATTTTTTACCGAAAAACTGGTTGATTTTGAATCGGTTAAAATTTACTTGAGCGCAGAGCAATATGAGCATCAGATCCTAGTCTCATCACGCATATTACCATATGATAAGATTCCCGAAGCATTTAAAAAATTATTACGCTTTTGAGGTTATACCAGACATTTCTTGAGAATAAGTACGTCGCTGGTCAGGCGGTATAATTACTTTATTAAGTTTTTTTCTAAAAACAAAAAAAAAAGAACTCCAAAGGAAAGGTGCGGAAATGTGACTCTGTGGCATGGCGAGATTCGTTCGAAGTTTCTTTTTCTTTGTCGTAATCTCGCAATAAGACCGCGAGAAGTTTGACGCAATTGGTACGTACCTGTGACCGTCCGCCATCTTGCGCAGCGACAGCTCCATGTTGTACTTGGGTAGCGTTACCGGAAAATGCTCGTTCCGTTCGAATCTCAGCTGCAGCTTCGCCATAAATTTGAGCTTGTCAGTAAATTTTTCCGGCTTGTTCTCCTTCGTCACTTTACTGTTCACCTTCTCGGTGAAGCTGTCGCTAAGCGACTCTATCGATTTTTTCTTAGCGATGCGAATACTGGACCGCATCGGTAGCCGATTCATTTTGTTGTTAAGTTTAGGGACAGCACTATCCTTCTCTCTGAGGACGTCGTCCGTGATTTTTCCGCGCATTTTAAAGTTTTCGTAGATTTTGTTGCGGTACTCCTTGACCGGAGTCGACGTAGCTGTCGCTTGAAAATCATCGGGTTTCGTTGAAACATCGCCATGAAGATCTTTCGGTTTGGGCGGCCTCTTCGGAGGAAGGTTTTTGTCCGGAACCGCTCCAGCTTTCAGTTTTCTCCTCAGAGGCAGACCTATCATGGCGTGAAAAGCGTTGCAGTGGATCATACGACACCGCTGATGTGCGGACCGCACTAGTTTTGCTTAGTTTTCGGTTATTTTAATATACAAGGTACGGGACATACGAATGTCACATAAATTGTCGTATTGTTTCATTTACGGCCGTTTCGTTACCACATGCTCATCACTTAACACTTATTGAGTGGAAAAATCAGAAAATTTTCAGAAATACAATCAATAGGAAAATAGCAAAATAATTACAAATTCAACAAAAAGTTTGCTAAGTAAAGTTTCATTGCAGAAAGAATAGGTTGAAAATTTGATATTTATCTTAAACTAGGTTATAGATGTTACATGCTCTATGCAAAGGAATCTAGCTTAAAGAAGATGTAAAGTCAGTGAAGGAGTAACTTAGGAGCGTCACTTAGACAATTGTCAGTCTGTCTTCATTCAGAATCAGTTCAAAACCTATATGAAAGCGCTTCATAGATCGTCGCGCTTAAACCAAAGATATTTTTGATGTTTAGGCTGTGACGTTTTAAATCGCTCGAATGTGATTTCTATAGTGAGGTGATCAAACAAGGGATGCTACAACTTTTTTTACAAAGCTTAATATTTTACTTCCTTTTAAAATGGTCGATACATGAAGAACAAATGAGAGCATCCTTTAAAGTCAGTTCATAACATACCCACTAATAAGAATGCACCGTCATCATAATTCATTCTTAACACCCTCTACTACGCGACCAAAACTAGTACGTGACCGCAGCACAGCACATATACTGATCCCTTCGACATGTATCTCATGAAGACCCGACAAGCTGTTATGGTTTCCGAAGCCAAGATATAAATCACATTCTAAACGCGGGGCACATTACAAATTTATTGCTTCTTGCAAACAATGATAACAATTATTGGAATTATTACCGCAGTAAACTACTTTAGAACTAGAATTACTTTAACCCATGCAATCATTGCTACGTGATAGATCTAAGGCATTTTTCTAAATGACTTGTCGCCTCGTCTATACAGATATACAGGGTGGCGCAATAGTGTCGCAATAGTGCATCTTCTACATGTTATTTCGAAAAAATGTATTCATAAGTGTCAATAAAATTAGAGGGCAAATACATATATTTTTTAAATTCAATTACATATATTTTCAATTTTTTTTGTATTTTGCGATTCTTCCAACGAAATGTTTATTAGACACCATGCTTTTGAATTTTGCCAACCCAAACAACAAAATTACTAAGAAGCCTAGTGAGGAACCTCAATAATACAGAAGCTTTTTGCCAAGATTAAAAGATACAGTAGATTATGGCAAAACATGTTTTTTTTTTAATATTTTCTATTTTTCTCATAAGTTGGTAACGTCAATCAATTTAAAAATGAATATTTTTCCTTTTTACAAAACTTCTGGATTCCTCCGGTTTTTGCTGAGTCGAACTTGCTGACGTTTTGCCAATCATCATGTTGGCTTCTTCAGAGCTTGACTGAAACTGACTCGTATTTTACTCTGTACCTGCTTATATATTGTTTGAGGGGGGTGGAGCTAAATGAGAGGCATAAACATCGTCTCGGATGAGTGATTCCCATATTGGTGACAGATAGAGTCGCGGTTAAGATAGTTAGGTTGTTTATAGATTTCTATAGACGCTCGGATTTTTCGTTGGTTAGTTTGTTAGGTTGTTTATAGATTTCTATGCAAGAATTTTAGTTTTATCGAATAAAATTTTATGTGCGGTTTCATGAGTGTGTTCGGCAACAGCTAATGACTTTATTTATCTTAGTCTTAAGGCTCTTTCGTGTTCTTTGAATCTCGTTGATATTTTTCATCCGGTGGTAAATCTGGTTTTGACGTTATACTTCTTTAGAACTTTCGATATGTGGCCAGTGATGTTTTGAATGTAAGGAAGGACCACTCAGACAAATAAACTCATCAGCTGTTGCCGAACAAATTCATGAAACCGGACATAAAATTTTATTCGATAAAACTAAAATTCTTGAATGTAATCAGTTCTTCTACCAACGAAAAATCCGAGAGTCTATAGAAAGCTATGAACAACCTAACAATCTTAACCGCGACTCAGGTCTCTACCTGTCACTAATATGGGAATAAGTCATCTTTAGTCATAGTTAGCTCTGGCCCCCTCAAACAATATATAAGCAGGTACAGGGTAAAAGAATCAAGCTCTGAAGAAGCCAACAGGATGATTGGCGAAACGTCAGCAAGTTCGACTCAGCAAAAACCGACGCAGGCGGAATCCAGAAGTTTTGTAAAAAGTCAGTAGTCTGTGGAAGTTTCTTTGAAAGAATATTTTTGGAATTACAAGCTTTCATGAAACACACTGTATAATTGAAAATCTTTCTGCTTTAATTTTATGCCACATCCATTAAAACAGACGTGCGCAAAGTGTCCCTCTGAGATTTCAGCGAACCACTTCGGACATTTTAGTCAAGGGTTGGTTATACTTTAAATACACTGATAAGGGGATGTAGTGTTTTGTCACCCTACTGCGCCACCCTGTATGTATGTCCCTGACCTAGAAGCTCGTGCTGAAGATCGCGCTGGTAACACTTTTCGGAAAAGTGCTCGCTGCACACCCTGACGTAAGAGTTTGCGACGCCGTTAGGTTTCCCGCACGTCCGGATCCATTTTGCTGCCATTGCGGCATCGGCGGGCAACATGTGGTAGATAATTTTCGAGTTTCCTCGAGTTTTCCCATAATAGTTTCCGCAAGTTTCGACAAAGCACTGAGGCATCCTCCTGTTGTAGCAATACGTCCTCGAAGAAATCTTCTAAGTATTTTCTATACCGTCCGTTTGGCTGTGGTTTCTGGTTTCCGTTTGTTTTGTAAGGGGTTACTTTTTATATATACTTTAAAAAGTCACTTGACTATAACAGTAAAATACTTTTTAAAATGATTTCGATATTATACAGGTTAGCTCAAAAGTGCTACAATTCTCGAACGTTGTGTTTTCTATTTTGAAAATTTTGGGTTCTAATAATGTTTCCAAAGATTGGAATCATCTTTTGAATAAGTCATCGGTTTAGACTAAGCAATGCCACAACAAAATTCAAATAAAAATGACTTAAACTTTATATAACAAAAAATCAGTCATGGACAAAGCAATGTCTAATTATCACACACACTTGGCTCTCAAGCAAAGATGCAGCTTGCAATCTAACTAGACTGTAAATTTCATAATCAATTAGACTCATGAAAATATAAGGTTGTTCGGAAAGTCATTTCGTTTTTTCCCGTCAGAGGACTTAATTACGTTTTTTCGAAACCAACTTCACACTTAAGCCGCATAACCATTATATGTCTTGAGAGCTGATATTGCAAGGCTTGTGTGTGAAAAAGTTCTATTAATTCTACGCAGTAGTTTTTGGTTGGTGCCCTTTGAAATATGGAGAGCAATAAGCAGCATTTTCGTCAGATTTTACTTTTTTACTTCAGAAAAGGTAAAAATGCTGTCCAAGCGAGAAAAAAATTGACGGATGTGTATGGAGAAGGCGTGTTAACAGTACGCCAGTGCCAGAACTGGTTTGCAAAATTGCGATCCGGCAATTTTGCGGACGGTCTGGAAGGCCGGTCGAAGCTGACAAAGATGCGATAAAGGCATTAGTTGATGCAAATCGGCGAATAACCACACGAGAGATCGGTGAGAGATTAAATTTGTCGAATTCGACTGTTTATGGCCATTTGAAAGGCATGGGCTTAACGTCGCATTGACGTGTGTGATTCGCTCCTCAAACGTCAAGAAAATGATCCATTTTTTAAGCGGATTATTACTGGGGACGAAAAATGGGTTGTATGCAACAATGTTAAACGCAAGAGGTCATGGAGCAGAAAAGATGAACCGGCTCAAAGCGTGTCAAAAGCCAACATTCACCAAAAAAAGGTGGTGCTCTCCGTTTGGTGGGATGTCAAAGGAATCGTTTTTTTTTTGAGCTTTTGCCGGACAATACAACCATTAATTCAGAAGTCTATTGTCATCAACTGGACAAATTGAATGATTCACTTAAAGAGAAGAGGCCCGAATTAATCAACAGGAAGGGTGTAGTGTTCCACCAGGATAATGCGAGACCTCACACAAGTTTGGTCACTCGCCAAATACTTTTACAGCTTGAATGGGACGTACTGCAACATCCACGATATTCTCCAGATCTGGCGCCTTCCGACTACTATTTGTTCCGGTCCCTGCAAAATTTTTTGGATGGCAAAACCTTTACCTCAAATGAAGATGTCAAAAACCACCTGAACCAGTTTTTTGCCAGCAAGGACCAAAACTTTTATGAGAGGGGAATTATGTTACTGCCAGAAAGATGGCAAAAGGTGTTGGACCAGAATGGCCAATATATAATTTAATAAAATATTTATTCATTATACGAAAACTGTCTTTCATGTTCCCCAAAAAAAACGAAATGACTTTCCGAACAACCCAATATATAGTTACCGGGTTATTCGTTAATAATTGGAAATGTATAAACTGTAACTTTCTGAACTCATAATATTAAAATTTAACCCAAATTACTTAGATAAAATGTGGTTTCTTACCAATTATTTTTGCCCAGTACATTAAAAACAGTTGACGTATTCTTCATACTTGACAGAATATGTAGGTACTGTACACCGTACTAGGTTGTGCTAAGTATACGTTTCTAGATACTAGAGTTCTTCAAACGATATACCGTTTTTACAACCTTTTATGATTTCGACTTTGGAATGAGTTTAATACCCGCCTATACAGCGGAAGCGATCAGTATTTTCAGCACGTGTACCACTAACCAGGGCCGTATTTAAGATGTTAACCTGAAGAACTGTGATATGCGAACTGTTGTATTTTAGGAGTAGGGAAATTTTCTTTGATTAAACTGTTGTAATAATTCATATTAGTGTGCTTTTTATAAATCTTCCTAAAACAGTCCCTATTTGAGCTAGCTCGATTTTAACTTGAATTTTCCCATTAAATAGATTGATCCCTTATATTAAAAACACATTATAAAAAGGCAATACAAAATGTTATGTAGATAACTGATGGATGTTTTCTCAGCGTTTCTCGGCATTTGTATGCACGAAGTACTGAAGTACGGTTCTGGAACGTCATTGTGGAATTGCGAATCTATTTGTTAAGGGTTACAAAGAGAAACGCAAACTCGGTAGGCCTGTGGTTAGACCTTCATAGAAATTTAGCAAAGTTACATACCAGATTATGTCGTAAAAACGGTATATCGTTCGGAGAACTCTACATTCGACCGACAGCTACAAGTGACTGGTTGCCGGTCTCCAAATTCTATGTCAGTTACGGGATTGCCAGTTTAGTAGAATTTCTTGAATCTCCAATGCGTTTTATGGAAATAACATACCATAAAGTTGCATCTCAATGTACAGGTAATTATTATGTCGGGAGTTTTGAACTTGAAACATTAATCTGCATATTGCAATTGCTTCAAGATTTCAAAACATTAAAACATTAAACTATTAAAAGGAAATTTCAATAACACGAAAATATCCAAAAAACGCATTTTATCTAAGATTGATTTTGAGCTCAGGATACCACAGTTAAAATATTTGAATAACTCTACATATATACGTAGAACATCGTGATTTAAATCGAGTAGTCACTTAAAGAATTTATTGGATTAGATATGAACCGTGTAAAATAACCTGTAGGTAAGATAGCAATTTGGGATATAAAATATGCATGATCATGAACATCTTACTCTCTTAAATACTCCTTGAATATAACAAAGATTGGCATCAGGTTAGATTTGCAACAAAGTCCCATTGTCTAAAACACTTTTTTCACTCCGTGTTCTAAATTTTTTTATATTATATTAATGATATTTTGACATTTGTTCCATTCTAACCAACAACTAATGTAATGTAATTAAATTTTTTGAATAAAACGCTATTAAGGTTTACGTTGAACCAGATAGTTATTCTGACTAATAAAAAACCACAACTTCGATGCTTATACTGCTTTTAGGGCATCGTGTATAAATGAAAACAAATTTAAAAAGTGTTTTCGATAGCACATCCTGATTCTCAAAAGTGAAACCTATAGAAAACCTTGTATCTTGTATAATATCCATTTATGATATAAGAACCTGGTAACTTTTAACTTGTAATCCGCCTCACCGCACATTTACCGAACCCAATGTCCAAATATCACAAAAAATGTCTCTTAAAACTTTGGCGCGACGCGACCAGCAGCATCACACGCTGCAACACGCTTCACGAATAATGAGGGATGCAAGTGAAGCGTTTTCTACCCCACACGGAGCGACCGATTTTCGCCCTTTGGTCGGATCGGTTTAAGGGCGGAACGGCAAGCCAGATGCCGTACAAAAATTTTGCCCCTGCGCCCGGATGAACCCTCCGTGAAGGTTTCGAGATACCACCGTGACGTCATCCGCGACAAAAAGGTAAAGGAAAGGGACGGCGAGGGTTATTACCCTCGAGTCGCATATATCGGGGGTTTAACGTGCACGCCGTCACGAACGCTGGTGAAAGAGACCGAAGGTGACTCGTTAAACGAAAAAAATTAGGTTAAGTCGATAAGATTTTACCTGAAGAGTGACCATAACCCATATTGTTCTTGAGTAAAAAAAAGAGAAAAATGAGAGGCCAAAGTCAACCACCAGATATTTGCCATCGATCGGGAATAATTTAAGCCTCGATGAAATGATCCCTTTTGTTTTTTGGACATTCCAAATTCGCATTTAATTGCGGTGACTTGACACATTCATGTACCGTTACTCTTTTAAAGTGTCATATATAACTTGCCTGCATATCACTTTGGTTTCGCAACTGGTTAGAATTTGCGAGGTTTTCGACCCAAACCCAAGAACTTGGACTTAGGTCGTTACGTCGTGTTCGCCAGCAAATAGCTATTATTTTTCCAATTTTTAAACCACCTTTAAATCCGCTTTTACTGGAAGCTGAAGCAATACTAATTTATTTGAAAATGGTTCCTGTATTTTGAATGGAATTTTCTTTTCCGCGTCTGCATGCAAAGAAACCCGCTATTTCAGAAAACGACTGGAACATTCGACCCCCAATGCGAGAATGCACTGTGGCCTATAAAAGCAAACACCGCTTCATAGAGGGCAGTCATCAGTCACTAGAGTCAAGACTAGACCGTGAAATTACTAGTGCGTAGGTATAGAGAATAGGAGTGTATAAATAGTTAGAAACGCATTTTTGGGTACTCGAAAATTTTACATGCCATGACTGGCACGTTAGTTGTTTCAAAAGCGCAACATTATTTTTTTTCTATGGCTTCAAAATTCGTTTATATACTTTATTTCCAAAGCTGATAGAAAGTTGACAGTTCACAAGACGTAATTTTAACTTACCATTTGATACTTCTTTTCTTCAAAGATTTCGCCAAATAAATCGCGTTGAGCGCATTCCTTTTTTCAGCGAAATTGGTCGATGTTTTTTTAATTTCCTTGTCTACCCGCGTCGCCTCCATAATATTCTTGTCGTTTTTAAACTCGGTATCATCTTCACCTGCAATGTTTTCAATGTTGTCTAGCGCATCGCACTCCAAATCAAGTTTCTTATTTCCCGCCAAAATCTCGACGACGGCGTCCTCTGCCGGTTCCGACGCTGAATCAACCCCAGTCGTTTTATTTATTGTTTGTTCGAAAGTTATATCACTTTCCGCGACATTGTCGGTGCATTTCACCTGATCGTCCTTCGTTTCCAGGTCGGTTTCCTTTGGGGCTTCTCCGTTATGCTTGACGTAATGTTCGTCGTCCATTTTACCTATTTCTTAGCAAAAATTAGGTCACTTGATAATATTTTCACCACCAACACTACGCGGCCACTGTTTTTTACGTTTTAGTTCCAGTTTTTAATTAAATCGAAAACGGTACGCCAGACTTTCGACGAAGAATTCGCAGCGAAACGCCGAATCAAAATATTTGCCTGCATGATATCGATTTAGTTCAAGGTAATGTAGACGACTGTACGCTTTTTTGAACTTTGGCGCTATTATTCGATAGTGAAAGAGGGCATGGGGCCATCTAGTGAAGAGAAGATTCGACAGTTTTAAAGTTTGCAGTTGTGCTTCCCTCTTACGGTAAATTTCTGAAACTTTTTGGTTACTTGAACTACTGCCAGGCAGATGGCGCGATGTACTCCGTTATAGAGCAAAAATAATGAATGTTCGATTTTCCGTAAAACTTCATGATGCCATTTTGAAGCGATAAACTAGGCTATTTCCGTTTTATGTAATCGCGTTACGTACGACATCGGCATCGTATCTGGATTGCC